TTCTATTCTATTCCTTAACTATTCCTATTCCTTATTCTATTCTATTATTTATTCTATTCTATATTCTATTATGTATTCTATTCTATTCCTTAATCTTTTCCTATTCCTTATTCTATTCTATATTCTATTATATTATGTATTCTAGTCTATATTCTATTCTATTATGTATTCTAGTTATATTCTATTATGTATTCTATTCTATTTCTTAATCTATTCCTATTCCTTATTCTATCATTTATTCTATTCTATATTCTATTATATTATGTATTCTAGTCTATATTCTATTATGTATTCTATTCTATTCCTTAATCTTTTCCTATTCCTTATTCTATTCTATATTCTATTATATTATGTATTCTATTCTATATTCTATTATATTATGTATTCTAGTCTATATTCTATTCTATTATGTATTCTAGTCTATATTCTATTATTTATTCTAGTCTATTTCTTAATCTATTCCTATTCCTTATTCTATTATTTATTCTATTCTATATTCTATTATATTATGTATTCTAGTCTATATTCTATTATGTATTCTATTCTATTCCTTAATCTATTCATATTCCTTATTCTATTATTTATTCTATTCTATTATGTATTCTATTCTATATTCTATTGTATTATGTATTCTATTCTATTCCTTATTCTACTCCTACCGTACCCTACCCTTACTCCTATTCTATTCATCTAGTCCAGACTAGTCTAATCCCCTAAAGTAGGATTTTCCAACTTTGCAATTTTAAGAAGGGCGCATTGCAACTGCCAGAATTGCCCAGCAAGCATGCATTACAATAAATAAACTTTAATTCCCAGAATTCCCCAGCCAGTATGCTTTGAGATGTGTGGACTTCAATATAGACTAGACTAGTCTATACTGAAGCCCACACCTCTTAAAAGTTTCCCGTCCAGGGAATTCTGGGAGTCAGAGTCCACCCCTCTAAAAGCAGAAGTCTCTAACCTTGGCCACTTTAAGGCTCGTGGACTTCAACTCCCAGAATTCCACAGCCACCTTTCCTGAGGTCCACAAGGCTTAAAGTAGCCAAGGTTGGAGACCCCTGCCTTAAAGCATACTGGCTTGGGAATTCTGGGAGCTGAAGTCCTTTTATAGTTAATGCATGTTCTCCGGGGAATTCTGGGAATTGCAATCCACCCAATTTCAAATTGCAAAGTTGGAGGGGGGGAGGGCTTTTATTTAAGGACAAGCCAGCCCAGCTCAACCCCATGCAAAGCAAAATCCCCTCCCCCGGGGAAAGGCAGCCCCCCACCACCACCCCGGGAAGCGGACCTTTCCACGATCGCCACTCCCTTAAGGGAGACAAAAGGACCCTTCCCCGCTTTACAAGCGGCTGGAGGGAGGGGGGACTGGAAGGCAGTTCTCCTTGCAGCCCGGCCGGTTGGCGGAGGGGCTTCTCCACTCCTTTGCTGCAAATGGGGGGAAAGGGGGCTCCGCGCCCCCTTGCAAGGCGCCCCCCACCTCAACCCTCGCGCGCCACTCACCTCCCCTGCTGGACAATTCAAACGCGCGGCTGCAAAGCAATCCCACGCCTGCGCCTGCGCCCCCCGCCCCGCCGCGCGCAAAGGAGCCTGGGGGCTGAAGTCCCGCTTTTGCAAGGCACGCCGGGAAAAATTGTTTTGGAAGGTGAGGTTTTTTTGGGGGGGGG